TTTGCATTTAATTTGCAAATCTGCAAGCCATTTATTGACACTATTCTTGGTTTATATGGTTTACCACAGTATGGTGCACACTACAGCTTGAACAGCTGAATCACTTTCGCTTAGCACTGCAGCGTAATCTCTCCTGTGTCAAAGTCCTTATTCTTTTTTCTCGTGCTACTTTGAAAGAACCGTTCATTTTTGGACGGATGATGTCACAGATTTCTTTAAATGCGGTCCGGGCTCGAGCGCCGTGACCACGTCAATAGTGTCAGGACCAAGAAAAGCAGAAGCCAGAAGCTGGCATTGCATCATGGGTTAACCTCCTGCAGCCACACGCAGAGCAGGGTTTCTGTCATGGGAAATGGAAACCTTATTCTGGAGCTGCGTAAACCATGAGTCAAAGATCAGAATTCAGTGCAAATGCGCATTGGTGCTGGACTGGTGGTCTAGCCTTATCTTTGAGTAAATTTAAACTTTCAATAATTCGATGTGCATGTGTGGAGAGAAGGCAAGTGATTGAGAGAGAATGAATACTTATGCTCATAAAATGGTGGAGAGGGTCATATTCAATTTATAAAACACGCTGCAAATTTGAAGAAAAACACCGGCACACGTGCGTGCAGACAAACACAAACATACACACAAGATCACTAAGAGTAGGCCTAGTGAAGGTACACGGAAAACCTTTTTCTATCATGTTTACCGTGTTCAATTTTTTTCACCTTCAATTACCACACTATTATTACCCTCGGGGCTGGTAAACCCAAGTGCCACATTTGTAATACAGACGTATAGGACGGTGCACAGTGAGCGCTCAGAGTAAATGTGTTCTTTACAATGTACAATGCTATTCACTGAAAGTGAGACAGGGCCAATGAGTCACAGGTTAAAAAAAAATATTTCTATGCATCTTTTCTTTTTTTTTTTTTGTAAACATTGATAACAGGTCCCACAGACCCGAACAGCAGACAACTGTTAAGGAAACTGGCCAAGCCAATTAGAACAGGGCTATTATTATTATATTATGTATTATATTACCGATATATGATATTATAATATTATACTAAGCTTGTACCTCGCAAAATGATCAAACTGCTGTAATGACAACATAAGTGAATTTGTTGTCTTGAATCACAGTGCTTAGTGTAGTTTTTCAATACTATTTAGCATGTTGACATTTCTGTTCATGTTTACTAAAAAAAAAGGCATCATTTCACTCAATGGCAAAAACGTGACAGACTGTGTTATACATGGGTGATTATTTGGTGCGTGTGAGGTCAGAACAGGCATTTGATTATGATCTCCTCTCTATTCAGTTCATTTTATTCGAGTAACTCTGTCACAGATGGACCCGCAGAGAACACAGTTCCTGTTTGCAGCGATAGCTACGACGTTACACTTAAAGTTTAACAGAACCAGACCCCGCTAGCCGAAGTGAGGCCGTAAATAAATACTCTTATACAGACCTGGGGTGGATTACGCATAATCAGTGCGATTACAATTACGATGATTACGAGACATTTTTTAAAGATTACGATTACGATTACAGTCCTCCAAAAATTTATGATCACGATCATGATTACATGGGTTTAGAATTTATGATTACGATTACGATTACAATGTAGATTACAATCATGATTACAACTGGTTGGACTAAGGTTTCTTTGTGGAGATATCTTTATAATGATACATGTATATTGATGCATTTATATATTTATAAAATAGCATGTGAAATGATTAAACATTGTTTTTGTATTGTAGAATTACTTGTGAAATAATAACAATTGTACAACAACAAATAATAACAACAGTCCCTGGAAAATTAGAGATTACGATTACTATAACGATTACGATTACAGGCCCATCGAAATTAGTGATTACGATTACGATTACAATCGTAATCGTAATCGTAATCCGGATTACAATCTGACCTCAGGTCTGCTCTTATACGTGCAATCCCACAGCTCTCCACCCAGAGCTGTCGACACTCACTCGAGTAAACACGTGCCTTCCTGTGAACACTCTCAGAATACTCGCAATTATATCAGCCACAACAAGGCTAAATCATCGCTTCCGCCTGATAAAACAATACTGAAACCAGAAAAGCAAGGGCACAGCATCCAGCTGACCGACACAGAAACCAATCAATAAATAAAAGGTATCCTTCTGCAAACAAATATTTTATAAATGACGACCAAGCACACTCCGGGAATCGTCATAATTTCCATGATGTTCAATGATGTAACCAATTAAAAACAAAAAAGTTTCTTCTCAGAAAGTGTGGCAGTGACTGATCCCTGCATGAAAACATGTCATTTCAGATTTAAAATCACATAAATGAGTAATGGCACAGAGGAAGCATGAGAGAATTATGAGGATTAAACGATTCTAGGTTTATTTTTATATGAAGGATTTTATTCATTCCTGAAAGACTGTTATTAGCCTTTTTTTTTACCCAATACCATTCCTAATACTTTCCCTCAAGTAGGCTTATGTCAAGTCTTCTCATACCTTCTGCTGTTCTCAACCAGTTTCAAGTTTAAAAATTGAAAAGCCACAGTTTGTTTAATGGGTATTTTTATCAAAGTTAATTGCATTGAGCTCCATTGCATATGATATTTTTGTATCGAACAACACTGAACTAACGTTGATGCCCACAGATATTTTGCTGGTAATTCCTTCAGTATATTTGTTTGGAGAATATTCAAATTCATGACAGTGTAGAAGTAAAACTTGAAAGGAAATGTGTATAATAATAATAATAATAATAATAATGAAAATAATAATTATAATAATAATAATAATAAAACTTTCAGCAGAGTTTGTGGGTGGGTCTGTGTGAGTTTGCTGGGACAGATAGTCACTGCAGGCAGACTCATGGCCGAAGTGAACTGCAGAGAATTCCTGCAGCGGCTGGTTATTCTATGAAGACAAAGCACTGACAGGACCACCTAGGCCCTGCGTGTTTATTGTTGGAGAATGCGTTTGGGGGGACAGAAGCTGCGTTTGGGTTTTGCCCTGGGGTGGGGTGAGGGGCGGGGGGCATTCGTTGGGAGGGGAGGGGGTGCGCTAGGCATTGTGGTCCCGGGTTGCTCGGTTTGGAACGGCCCAGAGCCCGACTCCTCCGAAGGTGTCAGTATTATGACATGTGTGCTTCTCTTGTGTTTTCTTTCACAACAAGTGCACTTCATCTTTCCGGGTGGTCTGGCTCGTAAAAAGGGCTTGATTTACATGCCAGGTTTAAAACCATCCACCTTCTCTCTTCCGGTTTCACTTACAGGCAACTTCCTGTGCGGCTGGCCCCTGCTCTCGCGGCAATAAATAAGCTCGGGGAGCCTTAGGAAAGCAGTAAGAGTTCAAACCGAGCTGTCTAACAACTGCCGTTATTTACTGTGGCTCCGCAGATCAGCACTGCGCCATCCCACCGTAACACTGGCTCTGGTAGTGCAGTGTGCGTACCTTCAGTTACATATGCTTTGCAGTAACAGTCTTATACTGCAGCTTTTACTATGTTCAGCATCATCTGAAAGCTTGAAATATTTCAGAAACATGCCACTCTTATGTCACAGTTAATAACCTCACAATAGCTTATGGTGGCAACAAACAAATGTCAAAGCATAGCTTCTGCATTTTTTAATGAAGGGCTGTTTCCAATTGTCCTGATTGGAGGACAAGTGTCATTTGGGTGTGTTTTTGCTTGACTCGTTCTTCAATGCATCGGAGATAAAGATCAGTGTCAGTGTCGTGATGGCACAACCCTTTTATGTCCACAGGACCAGTGTAGGTGTTCAACCAAAACATACACTACACGTTTGAGATCATGTCACATTCCTCATCCGTTAATGGGGAAAAAAAGTGAGAAAAAAAAGGTTCTGCAGCACATACACACACACACACACACACAAATAGACAAACAATGGAGATTTACGCTCTAAAGACATTTGCAAGATGCATGACAGACGTTTACGGGCAAGTAGAGACATTAGGAAAGGGATTTTGCAATTTCACAAACTAATTGGCTATAACACCACAGAGCAAACTGTTCCAGTCAGCCAGTTATACCGGTAGGACATAATTCTAATTCTGAATAACGAAATGGGGACAGATGTAAGGAATGCAAAGGGTGTATAATATCCCATTTTACTGCACTATACCCTTTTGGATGCACGTTATGTAAAAGAAATTATTCAAGTTTAGTACTTCATTGTGTTTCATTCCATATCCATTCTGTGCTATACTTGACTGGACTTTGTGTCCCTTGGTCATCACCGTGTGTTTGCTGACCATCTTCTGCACAGATGGTCTCCAAGGCCTGGATTTCTGTCATTTTCCACTCACTCTTATCTCAGCCTTTTGCCGCCGAATCGTTTGTCACTCCCACCAAGGAGGTTATGTATTTGCTCAAGTTTGTTGCTTTGCTGCTTGCCAAAATTTTGAAGTCAGGCAGAGCGCTTACTTCATATTTAACCAATTACTCCAGAAGGACTTTTTTTTTTTTTTTTTTTTTTTTTTGGCTGTGACTGTGCTCGAGTGATGTTCTGGAACTGACAGTACCTAAAACCTCAAACCCTCTACCAGAGTCTGAGATTCAGGACATTTATATGAATGAAAACAGTATAAATAGATGCTGCTTACAATGAACAATGTTATTTATGAAGACAGAGACTGCGGAGGTGGGGGAGATGAGATGCAGATCTATTGGCCGGAGTAGGAGTGGTGTAGAGAGCATGGAGCGAGAGATGAATGACCACTACCTTGGTTATAAAAGTTCACTGGTTGAACAGGAGATGCTGAAGTCAAGAATGATTGGACAGAAAGGGGCTTGTGACTTGAGTGATGCTCTGGAACAATCTGTGCAAACATGACACAGTCAGGCCTTGAGATCACAAACCCCCCCCCAAACTTATGTTCCCAAGGGTGCAGAGAAGCAGAGTTACCTGCAAACAGAATCTGTTTAAGAATGGAATAGAATGGAATCATGCATAGTAAATAGCATTTTGCACCGTGGTGGCACGGTGGCGCAGTGGTTAGCACTGTTGCCTCACAGCAAGAAGGTTGTGGGTTCGATTACAGCCTGTATGGAATTTGCATGTTCTCCCCGTGTTTGTATGGGTTTTCTCCGGGTACTCCAGTTTCCCCCACCCACAAAAACATGCATCATAGGAACACTCCAACCAGTACCCATGACCAAGGAACTGGTTTTAGAACTGGAGTTGGTCCCCGGGCGCTGCTCTGTGGCTGCCCACTGCTCCTAACTATAGGATGGGTCAAATGCAGAGGACAAATTACGCCACGGGGTTCGATAAAGTGTATCTCTATATCTATCTCTGAGCTTGTGCAAGCGTGTAAGGGCCTGTCTGACAGCAGTGGGATCAGCCAGCATGCTGAATACAGACAGAGGATCATCTCAGCCGATGATATCAGATCAAGGCGGAGGATACAAAGCAAATATGTTATTTGAGGTAAGAAACTATGTGTGGCAACAAGCATGTCCCATTTCCTCTGTATTCATACAGGCTTATATGACTTTCTCCTTTACATGCAGAAAGATCAGCAGAAATGCTGAATGCAGAAGAACATCCAGCAAGAAACTATAAGAGTGGCTTCATACGAAGAAAATATTGGATGTGAAATTATATGGTGCAGGAGAGATCAGCTGGCAGCTGAATGCAAGACAGTGTTAAAGTGACTTGATACAAAGGGAATGCGCTATGTGAGTATGAGACTGTGTGATGACAAGCCTGTCGCGTTTCTTTTTTTAACTTCATGCGCGCACGTGTGACCTTCCCATCAGAACACAGGTATATCAGCAGGAGAGCTGAATAGACAGAGAGGTAAATCCAATAAGACACTGCTTAAAAGTGGCTTAAGGCAGTGGGAATATGCTATGTTAGGTATAAGAATATGGGCAGTAACAAGCACGTCACATTTCCTTTGAATTCACATGATCTCCTCCACTGAATGCAGGGACATCAGCAGGAATGCTGAATGCAACCTGAGGAACATCAGGCAAGACACGATTAAAGAAACGTCTTACAGAAGGAATGTGTAATGTGAAGTATGAATATTATGTGTGGCAACTTGTGTGTCCCATTTATTTTGAATCAATGCGAGCATTCATGGCCTGCTGATCTGAATGCAGGAGATTGGCAGGCATGCTGAATGCAAAAAAATGCACATCAGGCAAGACACTGTCATAGTGACTTGATGCAAAGGAAATATTCTATGTGAGAGCGTGAGTTATCCTAAACTGAATGAGAATGCATGTAACTCAAGATTGGGAGTGCAGCACGAACCTCCCCAAAACCAACACCATGCCAGTGTAGCCCAAAGACCTGAGGCAAACATTTATGGGTCCCTTGGAGCCAGAGGCAGAATGTTCCTGTATTTACAGAATAAGCGCATAGCAGGCAAGTGGCATAATGGCTGGTGGGTATAAAATGTCTGTAAATTAGGTAGCGGTGAGTTGTCCCAAATGTAGGATACGGACGTTGCAGCAGATGACTGGAATGGCTTTGAAAAGTACATACACAGAATATAAACAGACGTTAATTTCAAAAAACAAACTTAGGGCGAGTTAAGCAAGCAAGATGAGCCACGATTTGGGAACGCAAAGCAAATACTAGCAGGGTATCAAGATGGTTAGCCTGCAAGGCAGAATAGGCATCTGGCTGTGGCTGTATTATTTTTCTAGGCTGATGAGGCTTGATCACAGCACCACAGTGGCCAAAGAATCTTTTTTTCTGCCAGACAGAAACTTAAAAGATGTGACTCTGTTTCTTCTGAGCACATGGATCACTATTACTAATATAAAAGTACATTTTGGTGGTACATGTCCTCAGGTACTTTCCCTTTTCCCATTTCTCCGCAGACCCCTTTTGCAGATGTGTTTGATAGCAAACTGTTAGTAAGCCATCCTGTTCTTTTTTTTTTTTTTTTGTATTTGTAGAGTGCCCTCTATTGAGTTGATACTGACACATCTATCCCTGAAATTTGTCCATATCAGCCGTTATGCTGGGCAATCCTGGACTGATACCACTTCTTACAGAGAGGAATTAAACTGCTGCCTCCAGCACATTCTTAAATTCATAATTTCAGCATAAATTCAGGTAAGGAAGTGAATGAATGAGAGACCAAAGGATTCAATGGGAATTTGCCCTTTTCAGTGGTAGATGCTTAAATCCAAGTCTTCTATGTCTGCAGGTTTTTGCTGTTTCAGAAGCGCAAGTTGGCAGGTTCAGCAATGATGTCCGTCAACTGGCTTAATGAGGCCGGAAATAATTGAGATGGTTGTTATTTCAATCGCATTGAAAGTTAGGAATGCAGGTCACCATAGCCTGGCAAAAGATTTAAACAGTTTACTAGAGAATACTTTAAATAGCAAAACTCAGTATGATCACCGCTCACCTTAACACCTGGATGGGATTATAAACAATTGTGCGTCAGCCTTCAACCCTTTGACAAGAAAACCATCTGACCTGCCTTGACAGTGATGACATTTCCTTAAATAGAAAGTTCCATGTTCCAAAGCCCTAACTCCCTCCTTTCAAGATGGAACAATAAATGAGAATCCGCCATCTGTTTGAGTGACACGCTGAAGACAAACATTCCCTAAGATATAGGAATGACTTTTCCACGAAACCAGACTGAGCCGCGAGTATCACTGATATCTTTACCTAGGAAAGTCCGTCGCGCAGCCCGCATCAGTTTGGATGTAGCACCACTGAAGAATTATGCAGATACTCTCCACACACTCATGACCACCCTGTGCGGCCCAGCAAAGAACAGGGAGTGTTGGTCGGTAGGAAAATATGTTGTGGGAGAGAGAGACAGTTGAGAGAGCAGGATTAGATGACAGCATGCTCCGAAACTTATTTCCACAGGAAAATTAAGAAGTTAAGAACATAAAGTGTGCATGACACCACAAAACTAGGATGTCTGAAGTAGCGTGAAATCAAACCCCATCCATGCAAAGCATATAACTCAAGAAATCCAGTCCAAAATCCAGATTCTGCCACTAAAGAGACGATTAGCGGTAGAGTGCAAATTGTTTTTGTTTTGTACACAGTGGCAATTTTGAATCTGATGAGTCACTATCGCAGGGATTAGTAAATACTGTATGCATAACAATACAGATATTTTTATCATTACTCTCCTTCTTCTTCTTCTTCTTCTTATTATTATTATTATTATTATTATTATCATTTATACATATGAAGACCACAAAGGAAAAACGATCGGAGTCCAAATTTAGCATTTTTGTATATTTTATATATCATTATAATATTTATAATAATATATAATAATATGATATATGATGTAATATTTTATATTTTTTGCACATTTTTTCAGTGCTTTGTTCCTAAGATGGTTTTGAATTTTTAATTCATCATTTCTCCGCAATGTGAAAATGTGACTCTGATCATTTTTCCATTGTGGTCTTCAAATACAGCGTATATGTATGTGAAAAAGGACAAATAATGCTTGTATCCCCCCCCCCCATTTTAATTTTATACGCCACTGTCCACTTGTGGTCTCTTAAAGGACAGATTTTGAAAAGGTCTCCAACGGCTAACTGACTGTGTGCCTGCTGACATGATAGGGAGCCCCTGATATTTTGATTGAAAGATTAAAAGGATTAGCAGAGACCCCATTTTTTTCATAGACCCTGTAGGTAATATTTATCAGGGGTGCCAATATTGGTGGAGGGCTCTGTACGGTGAGGATGTGTGTCCACAGCACACACGCCGCTCCTGTCAGTCGCGGAGTGACACTGATCATGTTATCTGTCTTCGCTGCCAGCACCACTGGCATAGACACACAGCTCACATCTCCCAGAGCAAACAGAGAAGCCTCGCACTGTTACATCTGCCAACGAACCCACACTGATGATCTTCCCACACAAATATTCACGGTGTAAAGCACTTCCAAAACTCACAGCCGATGAGGAAACTTGTAACAGATCACTTAAAAAGGCTTGGATGTAAATGAACTTTCAAAGTTTTATTTATTTATTTTTTTTCCACATTCCTTTAACGATGGTCAAAGCTCTTAGCGCCATTCATATAAGGGAAGTAGTCAGTGAAGTATTCCAGCACTCTGCAACAAGAAAAGCACAGAATGAAACCAAACTCCTTCCCCATTTGTAAAATGCGCGGGGGTCAGTTTTGTAACTGTGGTAATTAACGTGTTCATTTCAATGGACTTTTCCGTTTCATTGATTAAAGCAAACACTCTCCAAAGTGGTTCTTGAATTGTACATGACATTCAAGACTGTATTTTCGCATGTGTGTGCGTGTGTGTGTGTGTAATGTATAAGACATTTTATGAATGATGTTTTCTTTCCTAAGTGTTTCTGCCTCTTCTTGTATGTCAAGTATTATGATTGACTGTTCAGGAAAAGGAAACATGTTTTAGCTACATGCTCATAATCTAGGAATTAATTAAATGTGTTAAAGTGATAATCAAAGGTTTTCTACCATGTTGGGCACTTGCACCTTTTGATTAATGCTGTCTGTTTATTCCTGTTGTTCACAGTAGACCAGTATATCTGTTGCTGTGTCAGCATAATTGGATTGTATATTGGAATGGTATTTTCCCAAACTCTCTTACAGAAGCACCGGTAAGGTTTGCTGTGATTGGAGTCTAAGGTGAGGCAAACCAGGAGAATGGGGGAAAAGGAAAAAAAAAAAAAACTTTACAGAGCTATTAAAATGATTTTTTTACCAGATGAATACACACAAAAATACAGTATTTACAAAATCTGTCATATTATGACTTTTGTTCTATCAATCATTATAGTATTACATGTATTCATCATTTAATATGTGCTAATTTGCATAATACCATAAAAATAATATGAAAATAATTAAATAACTTTTTTTTGTAATAATACTGTAATGAATTGGTGGGATTTTTATAGCATTTAGTTTTTTATGTTCCTCCTGTAGAAAATGTAGAAAATAATGAAAATAAATATTTGCTTAAATACATGTATGATTTTCCTCAATTTTTGAGTATGTTGCTCATAAAATTAAAATGAAAAAATATATCAAAACTCTTCTGTACATAGATGAATCCAG